GGGGATTCCTTTTTTCGAACATCAGAAACCCAGGCTGTGATTGTTGTCTGTCTGCTTCACTTTTGGCACAGACCTGTGCAGCAGTGCTTGTGTTGTCTGTTGGCATTCAGTGATGTGATGTTTCAGACCGGGTGGGGGGGCGTCTGTTGTGACGTGTGGACTTTGGGAAAAACAGCCAGTCAGGTGTTAAGCTGTGTTGCTGCTACCCCTAAAACTTTGTCTGCAAAGGCAGAAAGTGAGTAAATACCTCTGAAAAGAGATCTGAGAGAAAAAAAAACAGAAAGTGAATGTCTACCCACTGAAAGAGGCGTCCAAACAGACTGGAGCTTAAAATCAGTGGCTGAGTGAGTTTTTATTTGCATTGTTGCTGTTTTGATGCACTGCAATATTCCCATCCATCATCGGTCGGGATCAGCCCTTGATCCAGGACTCCGCCTACTCATGGCCTCTCCCAATCCACCAATTTTACCTCAAAGCGGCCTGGACCTTCAATGCGGAGGCAGCCGTCATACGTCACATGACTAATGTCCATCCCCAAGATATAGAAGCCAACATCGAGCAGGACTGACAGATCACCATCCTACTAAATTCTACCATAAAATGGAAAAACCACAGGCATGTAAAAATTAGAAATACATATAAGTAAGGGGTAAACAATATGGAATCGATGTGAGACGGTTGCCATGGGAGACCGGAAAAAAAATAAAAATTCAACTGCTCGGCCCAGAAAGTACCGTGACATTCATCCCTCTTTCTGTTGTTAAGTTTCTTTCATGTATGCTGTCAGTGAGGCTGATCGCCAAGAACATGATGTCCTCACCCTACCTCCCTCTGAAGCCCCACCCCCCGCCCCCCGTGTTTTGTTTTTGCGGGTGTCCAGATGCCACTGGCATTAGCAGGGAGCTAAAACTCCGACATGGACACCTCCTCATCTACTCTTACTGTGCCTCTGGCTCCTGTGAAGGCAGCCCATCCGCTGCTCTGCCTCTCAGACGGCGGCTCCTGGGCCTCCTGCCCGCCCGGCCCGCAGCCCAAAACAACTCAAGCCAGCGGCCAGGCCAGTGTCCCCTGAGCTGCAGTCTTCCTGCCCATACTGTTGCCAGCAGGGGGGGGTAAAGGGGCTTGGACGTGTGTGCAGCATCCCATCTACCACTTAATCCTAACTTAGGCCAGACCCTTCGGGCTCCAATTGGAACTGGGGGGTATTTATTTATCTTTCATTCACTGATCCAAGAGGGCTCATGGGAGGCATTAAATCTCCACTAAAACCCCTCTGCTAGCTGAAAGCACAAGTAAATATATCATCTGTTTTACAGAAGTCGAGGAGAGGGCTTTATCTTAACCGAATCCAGCTCGTGCGGAACATCTCAACCTTCAATGCAACTATTTATACCAAGCTGATCTGCCGTAATTATCTCAGTTAAATACAGGTTTGAGATTGAGTCGTGAGCTTTATTTCATCGGCCTTCAGTTATCCGACGTGATTCTGTTTCTATATTCAACCAAAGCTTTGACTGTTAAGTACTTCTTTGCTGTTATTTCGGAGTTTTTCTTCGGCGGATGTTGTGGCGGCCAAATTCCATTCTTCCCTCGTCTCTCTTGCCAGAAAAATCTTGGGGGAAGATTGCATTTCTTGGTACCGCTTCTTTCCTTCCCTCCATCCTCCGTCGGCACGTCCAGCGCTTCCTAAGTCCAACTGAGGGGGCTGTCCTGTTGTGTGAAATACGTAAATTGCACTAACCATCTGCCCGATTCCCGCTACCCATCCACCCCGCCATGTGCGCTGGGGCTCTTGGGCGGTATGAGCCCGATGGAGGTGCAAGGGAGCGGCCACTGCCTGCCGAGACACGGCTCAGGGGAGCTGAGTAAGCGGCGCTGGTCTGAACACTTTTCATCGCTGCCTTCTGTTTGTTTGGTGACCCTGGAATAACATCAAGGACCCAAGGGGGCCGTGATTTGGACGGTAGTGTAAAAGACTACTGCCTTAAGCATTCTACAGGTCGTTGTTTTCGGCGCAACAAGTCAACACAGTGCCGATACTTGCATCATCATCACAGTCTCTAGCCATATGGCTACATTCTCTAAAACAAACTATATGCGAACGCGGTCCTAAGGGGCGAGAAAAGCCCACGTGCATTTGCCTTGGCAAGGACAGAACCGACTGATTGACAGAATGTTTGTGTATATTGCTCCGGAATGAGGGCAGATAATGTTCCAGAATGAGGCCTGACATCAGTGGCTTTTCCTTCAAGCCCATCCCAAAGTTGAGGGTCATGTCTGTCTCTCTGATGTCCCACACCACCGCTCCCTCCTTTTCTGTACCTTTGTATCCCCAAGAACTGGGGCAGCGAGCCTTTAAGCCCTTTCTGGCCCAAAGAGGAACAGGTGTGGACAATCCAAACTTTTAAAACTACGTTTTAGTAAAGCCACCAATTGTCTGTGGCCTAAAAAGCAGAAGGTATCTTCGTTTGTTCCTTTGTTGATAAATTGAAGCCAATAATAGAATTTAGAGATCAGTGGTCATTGTTGACACACCACAGCACACAACAATGAAATGTATCTTCTGCATTTAACCCATATGTGGCATAATGGGGGGCAGCTAATTCAGCGCCCAGGGGCGGTACCTCGCTCAGGGTGCCTCAGTGGTGCCTTGCTGGTCACGGATTCGAACCTGCAATCTTCCAATTACAAGCACTTCCCTAACCATTAAGCCACCACAGCCCACAAAAATAGCAAGCGGGCTCATATTCTCCTTTCTGCTTCTTGATATCAAATTTATTAGAGATAACGAAGATTCCTCTGTTCGCGGTGCTTGTATAATTCACATGTGACCAGGAAGCGTCCCGAGCCAAACGCCTCTTCTCTACTGCCAACACTGGCACAAACACACTCAGAGTAACGATGTCCAAGCAGAAACAGGAATACACTGTATCCCACAGAGAGACTGACAGACTCGGGCACTGGTGCGACCCTGATTGGTGGTCATGTTCACATTGAAGAGATTCCCCCCAATGTAGGTTGATGCAAGCAACAGACAGCGTCCTCCACAATCCCCATCGCATGCCTGCCACCTAGTGGCCAGTGGTTTTGAGCTAGCATTCTGTGGGGAATGAGTTGATAATTACAGGAGGAGTGGAAAAGCTGTGTAAAACTGCTATGTTTACCACCACTCAAACCATGCACTTGTGTGGCTCCCCCTGTTGGCCACAAACAGTGACTACACTGGGGCAGCAAAGTGATTTTTTTAAGCAGAGCCCCAGAAACAACAAATTTGCCCCAGACTGTTTTCAGCCAACGGCTCTTGTCTTTTTTTTTTTTTTTTTTATAACGTACAGTTTCTTCTCAGGATATGGTGCTGGGTTCATAATAAACAAGGTTCTGAGTGCTGCTGCAAAACCAAACAAATGCTTGCCTGACTGATGATTTCACAGTTTCCCTGTATAAATTCAGCCTGCATCTTGCTCATTAACTGGGTAGAGTTTGCATGACCCTGGGGACAGACAACACGAGAGCGGTTCCTGAGGCACATTCTGAAGAAAAGCTAATGAAATTCGAGAGAATATTCCATGGAAACACAGCCTTTGGCTTCAGCAATCCCCTCTCTCATGTTTTTTTTTTCCAGGCTTTGATACAATTTCTTTCATGCTGTACAATATTCAGAGTTTGGGCAAGCTGTCCAAATACATCCTTCGTTAAGTGTAGAGCTCAGAAAAAGGTTTATTTAAAAAGCATAGCAGGAAAAAACAACTTTTTGCAGTCACTTTTGTATTTCACTAATTCATTTATATGGAATTTTAATAAATTCACCAGCTGTAGTAGATTATTTTAACAATAAAAAACTATTGAAATGACTCTATTCTGCTACTGAAATTTTAACATTTACACAAATTGGATATATTTAAGAGAGTGTACATTTAAGTCAGTGTGTCGTGCTGTAGCCTAATGCTGTCAGACTTTGGTTCTAAATTGCCTTTAGGGAGCATGTATGTACCCTGCACCTCCTCCAGGGTGCGCTCCTGCCTTGTGCCCCATGCGTCCTCCATGCCCTTGATTAATGCCTGCATGCCCTCAAAACCAAACGACACACTGACACATATGAAGGGTCATATCCTTTACACAGCACATCGTTGCAGCAACAGCTAGGCAGTTACCCTCGCAAATGATCAGGACGTCTGCAACGTATCTGAGTAGCTTGGC